ATAATGTACATGTATCTTAAGTAAATATTAAAAATAATTAAGAGATATGTTTATCTAATTAAGATTTACATAACAAATAAAAAGAACCACAAAAAATATTTACAAAAAATGTAAGTGTATTTAAATAATAAATTGTAAGTTTTTGTTTGCACAGCATGTAAGTAACAGTTTTACAAATTCTCTCTGATCCTTAATTTCAGAATTTTATGAAACAGAACAATTGGACTTTTCATTTGATTTTGAATCTGCTTTTTCAATTTCCATTAGTAATGTATAGAAAATATCTGAAACAGACTATAACAATAAATTAGAAGTTATATAACTGAATATGAAATGTTCTCACTAGTATCAAATCTAGATCAACTAAGAATGTTAAGCTGAAATATCTGTTTAGAAAAATAAGGTATCCATAATAGTATGAAAATGGCCTCAATAACGAAATTTAGTAAATTTTTTGAAAAAACCAGTTTTCCTTATATGTACTTATTCTAATAATTCATAACATTTATCATTCCAAACAAACACAATTATTTGGTAGTCAAACTTGGACATTTTTGCCAATTTTTTTAATTTGTCCATTAATATTAATGTTTCATATTGAATGAATGAAGGTATACAACTCATATTCTGAAATCTGGTTTTCTTAGATATACAAGAATTTATAATTCATAAGAAAAAAAATGAACCTCATTCAATATGAAATATGTTGATAATAGTGGGAAAATACAAAAATACTGGAAAAAAAATGCCAAAAATTGTCAGGTTTGACTATCAAAATTATTGTGTTTAACTGTAGTGATTCTAAACGTCATGAGTAACTAAAGTAAGTGTAAAGAATAATAGAAAAAATAAGTTTACAAAACTTATTAAACTAACCCCTACAAGAGTCATTTTCATATTCTTATGAATCCTAGTGCTTTAAATCACTACACTTACTGTGTTTTGCTTGGCTGAAGCTTCTAGAAAAGCAGCATTCCAGTCTTCTGCAAGTTTTCTGCCTTCTTCAGTTGATATCATTCTTTCCATGTGTAGATCGGTTTTATTACCAACTAGTACAATTGGGACACTAACAAGAAAACTATTGTAACTTATAAGCTGTATTATTTTGAACACTTACTGTAATTTTCCTGTTATATCTAGTAATTTTTCATAAATTACTTTAATAACTTCAAAAGATTTTGTACTTGTTATGCTATAAACTAAAACATAACCATGAACATCAATGCTGTATTGAGACGGAAAAATAGAATATTCATCTTGTCCAGCTGTATCAACTAATTTTAATTCATATTCTTGAGAATTTATTCTAGTGGATTTTGTAAATGCTAGAAAAAAATGTCACTATAAAGAAATATAATAAATACTTACTAATCAACTTAACTGTTTTCTATTGTGGGATCATAAGAGTCAACAAACTGTCCTTCAACAAATTGGATGCTCAAGGATGATTTTCCTAAAACGCATATAGTTTGTATAAAACATAAAGACAATATATCCTTCTTTTACTAACCTACTGATCTGTATCCCATAACAGCAATTTTACGTTGTTTTGAAGGCATTTTACTTTTTACTGATATGAAATTGATAATTTTAATTAACCTGTTTGAACAAGGAAAAATAAAAAGGGCACTATCACTTCTTCAAGAACAGCTCTAATATCCACAATATCGGCTTTTAGCCATAACTATGCATGAAAATAAGTAGTTTCAGTATTGAATTGTAAGTTTATAGAGATATAAACATCATGTAATTTACGTTCAATTAATTCAGTGTAAGTTTCGTATTCCCAATACAAACAAACCAACCAATACGTCACTATAATATACTGACTAGTAATCTCTAATATGCCTAAAAAACTTTCTTGGCATATCAAATATAATATAGTCCCATAACTCACAATTTAGTTCTGAAACAGGGTAAAAAAAATAGTAACTAATCTTAAATGTCAAATAACTAAATATATTCGCAGATTACTGTTGCGCCCCGAGTCGTTACGTATATTTGAGACACTGACAGTGATTTCTCACCGCTAGCGCTTAAGTGCCACAAACTACTACAAGAGGTCAGTAGATCCGTAATTAAAAATGTATTGCATTTTATTGGCCAGTATTTAAATATAAAGGCTAAGATATTTAATTCTATTCAACTTTCAACAGCTTATTTTACAAAATTTAAGAGGAAATTCTAAAGTATTCCCTTTTTATAAGTATTAAGTGGTTCAAAATATGTTGTTGAAAACTAGAAAAGATTAAAAATACAACTTTACAAGATAACTTTTAATAAGAAAACATAACAAAATAACAGAAATCCAGAAATTCAAAAATTCAATTTCTAATAGTTAAATAATAAATAGTTTATTATTTAATTTTTTATTTCTTGTAAATCAGTTTCTACAACTGTAACTTCTTTCCCTGGTGATTTGAGAGTAAATATCACAGGTATTGATGCTAGACATGGATTGTCATTTTTTTCTAAATGTCGAATCCATGAAAGAACTGAATCTCTTCCTGATGTCCCTGTAGCACAAACAGAATAAATTACTCCTTCAGGTTGCTCATGAACAGAAGGAATAAGGTTCAACTTCTTTTCCTGGGGAGTGCTTATAGTGAACAAGGGCACTTCTATATTGCTTACATCTGAATAAAATATAAAATAGGTACTTTGTTAAATAAATGCTTTATTTAGCATGTATATTACTTGCCATCTAAATTTTCAACTTCTGTATTAACTGGTTTTGGATCTCCTCTTAGAATGAAGTAATTAACACACTTATTTTTAATCCAAACTTTGAAAGTACCTTCAACATAAACTGGGTTTTCTTTATTGTGTTCACTTAACAGTTTCTTCTGGGTTATTGACTGAGCACTTACTATCCATGTATCTTCTACAGAATCTGGAATATCAGATGTCTACAAATAAAAGACATATGTAGAAAACAAATATTGTAATTTCTCAAAATAGTGATGATACAATTAAAGAATTTTTTTACCTTAAAAACTGTTATACTAGTTTGAACATCCACACTTGCAATCCTGGCAATAGCTATTTTTGCAAGTTCTAGAACATCATTAGGTAAAGGGTCCGGTACTGGCCATGGACTAAGGTTTTTAAATTTAGGCATCCAATACATCATTCTCCAGAATTTTCTAAGTGGGTATCCACGTTTGCCAAATATGTTTAGTAAAATGCTTTCAATTTCAAAATCTGGCATTACTCCTAAAAAGTATCTATAGGGCTTTTATTTTATGCATTTTATTTAAAAGTACCCACCATTATCTTCCATCTGTTCTAAGAGATCAATAATGCACTGTTGCTGTTTTGGATAGTGCATAAATTCAGCTTGAAAAATATTAGTTGGGATAAATCTACCTTTTGGCATCACATCAATTAAAGCTTTATATACTTCTAAATCTTTATGAACACCAAATTCCTTCATATTTTTTAAAGCTGCATAAATAAACTCTACATGGCCTCTTCTATGAGAGCCTCTTGTCTCGAAAATTTTAACCATTTCTAAGTAATTTTTCTTGTTCTTCTCTTTCACACGATCAAAGTCTGTAACTGCTACAATTTCTTTTGTAGTTTCATTTTTCGAAAGTAATGTAGACGAAGTTATAAACGCTCTTTTAGGTGATTCATGAAAAATTAAATGCATACTGTTTTTACTTTGTAGAATGGTATTTATATAACCACTTAATACTTTTCTAAACATTTCGAAACATTCACTTCATTTTAAATATATACGGCAACTTTTGATTCTTAGTCTTATTTCTTTAATAATAGCTTTAATTATTTTCTAAAAAATAAACATTTTATCTACTCAAATGAAAACTAACACCGCAACTAGATTTAAATGATATAGATAAAATTGTGGTTAAGTCTGATCGCGTCTGGTCCATGTCGGCATTTCGCGTTGAATTTTAATTCACCTTGAATGTTCAAATTGACTCAACTAGAGAACAAAAATGTGTATATCTATAGACGTAGTACAAGGCAAGCTATCACGACTTTTACTAACTTTTGCATCTGTATTTTAAAACTTATTTCAGAGTCAGTTAATAATAATTATATAAATTCACTTCAGGTGTACCTGTATACATATTTTAATATGAAAAAATATATATTAAAACGTATATTTACTTCGTTTATGTCAATTTTAAAAAAATTTTATGATTGTTAAAAAGCGGCAACTTGAGATGTTTATGAATGCATCCATAGATAATGGATATATAATACTTCCTGATCTACTATATTGAATCTCTTATCTATGAGTGCACCATGATCGCTGACTCTGTGATAACTTATTGACTCTATGAGCGTGGGTTGCTGTTCAATTGTTGCCGTTTTGCTGTGTTCGTTCTGTACTCGCCGCTTTTCGTATATTAGTCGGTAATTGTAGGTCCGTGTGATGTGTCGGTTCTTTCGACTGGTGCTGGTGTAAAGTGTCGTTATTTTAACATTGCAAAATTTACAGCTCAAAGAGCTTCAAAGTTTAAGTCATTTTCAATGTGTATGGCTCTTGTGGTAAGTAAAAGTTGTTTAAATTTAGGTGGAGTATTTTTAAAATTTCTGAAACCTGTGGGTTTGTCTAATGATTGGTACTACTTTTTGCCCTCATTTTAACGAGGGCTTGTATTGAAAATGTACTAAAAGATCACAATATACCCTTAACATACTTCTTCGAATTAATATGCCTATTTTAATGGATATTCAGATTGTTCTTTACAATGCTAAAGATTTTTGGACCATGAAATACGTGAAATAAGGTTTTATTCAGTATAAATTATTAATTCAAGGTTAGAACTTTTTTTTACACTTGCACGTTAATTTATTTTACTAACTCTATTTAAACTGCTTGTGGCTTTTATTGGGCAAAAATATTATTAATTTTTATAATCTCATCATTTGTTATAATATACAATTTAAATGTATGCGTTGCGTTTTGGGTTTTTCCTTGTTTTCTTTTTTTACAAAATGTGACAGAAAATAAAATAATTGTGTAATTAATAATTAGGTGTTTATAATAAATTGTTATCCATTTTGAATGTACTTTTATGAAAGTCACAATGATTAGAGCGATTGTAAGATAATGCAATAACGTCTGATATTTAGTATATAGGTAGGTAGGTACCTACCTACCACACGTTTTATTTATTGTGAAATGAGTAAAGTTATCCCAAGTTTCTTATATTAGATCTACTTATACATTCCTTTATTTACAAAAAATTATAGTATGCAGCTACAGTAATATTCTCTTTTTTTTGTCTACAGTTATCGCAATATCTTGGTGTGAACTTGAAAAAAGCACAACTATTACAATGAATTCTACTTAAAAAAAATTGTGTAATCAGATTAAAATTATTTCATAATTGGTTGCATTATTGATCAAATTTTAGTTTTTGAGGAATTCTGTAGGGTGTAGCTGAACACTGATTTGTATAAACCAGAAAAATGCATACACGAATGTTATACGTGCTTTATTAGTTTATAACATGTTAAATTGTTATCATTATTCCGAATTTATCACCTTGTTATTTTATCTATAATGTGATGAGTTTGTTTTTATATAAATTTATAGTCTTGAATGGTTTCTGCTTTTTAATGGAAGTTAAAGTGAAGGAAACACAGCAAGTAGGTTTTCACAATTTTTTTTATTCAACATGTGACATACAGTATGTTTTACTAAACACTGGATTTTTGTGATATGAATATACTTTTAGGTATTAAATCTCAAAACATTTTTCCAAAATACGATCATTTTTGAATCATGCATTCGTAATTATACATACATATATACGTCTGTATAAAGTAAAACATACATTGACAATTAACATTAGAATTATATGTGTACATCATTGATGTATATGAATAATGGTGACTCATCGCATAAGGCGTTTTATATGTACAAGATGAAACTAGGGCCAGTACCTTTTTTATCTGCACAGTAGGTTTTATATAATTTATGATAATATTCGTAATTATCAGTCATTACAATT